CTACCAAAAAAGCTTTTCCATTCAAGTTTTGGTGCAATGTATCTTTAGACCTGTAGTTCCTAAACTTAATTTTCTTCCGAGTACCCTTGGAATTAGATTTAACTTTCCCTTTAATATCCCCAACTTTGTTTTGAAAATAACTTAGGATAGTATCACTGTACCAACCCATTTTTGAATATACACCAGACCGGTCCAATCTCAGGTATAAACCTTCGACATAAATCATAGCAGATGACACTTTCCTAGTACCTTAAATTACCATGGTTAACACTACAATATAGCTGGAACTTCTAAAACATATTAGAAATTATATCTAAAAATGCATGATAATATCACTAATATATTTTATAAAAATAGTAACTGAGAATACCAAGGAAAATTAATGGAAAACAACAATAAAATGGAACTAGTCGAGGGATCTAAACCATACTGCGTGTTTCCAAGCAAGTATCTCAAAAGGTGCTCACATTTCTAAGAAGCATCTGCTTTCCAGATGCTTGCTACTCTATTAAAATAGAGACACAGGGCAAAATCATTTTACTTATGTAGAAATTTGACCTGGTTGATACACTGTTTTGATATATTTTGGTTTTCAGTACTGAATATCTAGTATGTCTATGCTCAGAAAAAAGATTTTCTTTTTCATTAAAAGGAAAATGGAAAACCAAATGGTGGAGAGCACATGAAGCAGTATGATAGTCACTGTGAGACTGAGGATAAAACACAGTCAAAATACTAGTATTTCTTCAAAGCTTGTTAACAAGTGTAAATTTTCAAGTTTTACTCATATATTTTGTGGAGCAAGTTTCAGTTTTAAATTTTTGTAATGTTGGAATTATCAGAATTGACTAGATGAAGTAAATGAAGCAAGATCATGTTGAATTCTTGTGTACCAAATGGTTACATTCATTTTAGGAATTATACACCTGTTTGAAAAAAAATGGTCATTGTTGTGAAAGAGCAATCGAAAGCTGAGTGCAATGTTTATTTCCAGCATGTCTGAAATATAAGTATTTTAGGAAAGCATGTACAGATATGACCCCGAGAAATAACAATATATAGCAAGGTTATAAAGGCTCAGATTTTCCTGAGTGACACTGAGGATGTTTTTGTGCAAGATAAACATATTTACCCTGAAAAACCTTGGATTCCTTCCCAAGGACACCTTCTGCTTGTTTAACAACAACAACAAAAGTGAAAAATCTCGTGTAGATGCTTATTCATGTTCACTAAGGACTAATAGATCTTTCTGTATGTTTTAAAAACCTTGCAAAGCAGAAGGCAAAACGACATTCTCAGCATAAACTAGCTGATTCTCATGCAACTCTGAAGTTAGACCGTATGCTTTCATCAAGATGTTCATACATAGAGGACTTTTTTTGCAAAATACCTTTTAACTGCTTAATTAAATAGTCAGTTAGACATGGTAGTAAAACAAACAGAAAAAATATAAAGTTCCTCACTTTTAGGGAGAGGAGCAATGTATTAGAATATTGGAGTCTAAAAATAGATATTCTAAAATTAGAGCATTGTAAGATCTGGTTACACTGGAAGCTACTAAAATACAAAGGCAGGATTCCCTAGAGAATCTTACTGCTTTCTTATTCTAGCTCTGTTGGCTACACTGTATCCCTGATGCAAAATATCCTTGGCAGAACATCTGCCAAGGTGAATCTGTTGTTGAGGTGGTGTCTTTTGAGGGGATGAAATTAGCATGGAGCTGCATAAATGGGAAGGAGGACAGAGTTTAGGCACAGGGAAAGGGAACTCTGCTACAAGTGCAAACTCTAGTTGTTGTCCCCAGGACGTTGTTTCTGTGTTCCTGATGTCATTTTCTGTCAACAGCTGCTTTCTTCAACATACAATGCAGTTACAGTGTTCTATCCCACAAGAAAATGGATTCGAGAAAAATTACAACTGAATTAAAAACTTTAATGCAGGCATAATCTTTGTATTTTGTTCTGTGAGCTGTGCAGTGAACTTCATAGCCATGTCTGGTGTACAGTAACCACCCTCCAGATTAAAAGCTATAAGGGTTATTACCATTAATGGTACGATAGTAATACTAGTCTGCTCAAACAACATGACTATCCTCAGTACTGACTTCTACCTGATCTATCTACCATGATACCGCTTGAACATTGGATGTATAAGCAAGAGAAGCACACAGGAGTAATTTACTTGAACTTTCTTCTGTATTTGACCCTGGTGGAAGATACTAGATTACTTAGCATAACTCTGGTGTTTACTTTGTTTTAAAATGATACTGAGAAATGTAGATACAGCTCAGAAACTGCAAAATAAGAATATGTCACCAAGCAGTTACTGCCGAGTCATTCTCATGCTGGCGACTGACTTTGCATTGTAGTTTAACTTGTGCTCAGGTTCATGTTACTGTTACCTATGAACAGATGGCAAAAGTCACACTTCACCACAGAGGTAAGTGGAGAACCTGGAGACAGGAAGAGTCTATTAGATATAAGATAAAATTTTGTTAAATGAGGCCAGGCATTCCTTAGTGAAGACTGTGGCTACTATAGATATTAGGGAGTGAGGCAGGGGAGTTAACCTTTCACACACATTTTGGGAAAAAACATTTTTGTGGCAGTTTTAATACACTGAATTATAGAATCATAGAACAGTTTGAGTTGGAAAGGACCCTAAAGGTCATCTAGTTCCAACCTCTGTGGCATGGGCAGGGACACCCTCCACTAGACCATGTTGCTCCAAGCCTCATCCAGCCTGGCCTTGAACACCTCCAGGGATGGGGCATCCACAGCTTCTCTGGGCAACCTGTTCCAGTGCCTCACCACTCTCACAGTAAAAAATGTCTTCCTAAAATCTCATTTAAATCTACTCTTTTTTAGCTTAAAACCATTACCCCCCATTCTGTCACTGTACTGCCTGATAACGAGCGCCTTGCCATCTCTCCTGCAGACCCCCTTGAAGTATTGGTAGGCTGCTATAAGGTCTCCCTGGAGCCTTTTCTTCTTCAGGCTGAACAACCCCAGTCTGCTCTCCTGAAGTCCAGGGTAGTGAGTTTGTTGTGCACCCTCCTCACTGCCCTGAGGAACTCCACCATTTCATGGTCACTGCATCCCAGGCTGCCCTTGAACTTCACATTCCCCACCAGCCCTTCCTTGACGATAAGAACAAGGTCCAGCACAGAATCTCTCCTCGTTGGCTTCTCTGTCACTTGGAGAACAAAGTGATCATCAACATATTCAGAAACCTGGCTTGCTTATGCCCTGCTGTGTTGTCTCTCCAACAGATATTGGGGTGGTCAAAGTCCCCCATGAGGACCAGGGCTTGTGACTGTGAGGCTGCTCCTGTCTGTCCATAGAGGGCGTCGTCTGCTCAGTCTTCCTGGTCTGGTGGCCTGTAGCAGACCCCCACTATAATGTCCCCTGTCCCTGCCCTCCCTTCAGTCCTGACCCACAAGCTCTCTGTTGGCTCCTCATCCATCCCCAGGTGGAGCTCCATGCACTCCAGCTGGTCATTGACGTAGAGGACAACACCTGCTCCATGTCTCCCTGCCTGTCCTTCCTAAAGAGCCTGTGTCCTTCCACTCCAACACTCCAGTCATACCATGTCTCAGTGATGCCAATAAGATGACAGCCCTGGAGGTGTGTGCAGGTTTCTAACTCCTTTTGTTTATTCCCCATCCTACAGGTGTTTGCACAGAGGCAATTAAGTTTGGCTTGGATACATCTGACTTACTGTCTGGAGTGTCTGGAATGCCTTTGTGTTTAGCTTACTTTAGTTTAAAGCCGTCTTCACTAGCTTAGCAAGCCTATGACTGAAGATACTCTTCCCCTTCTCTCACAGATCCCATCAGCCCCTAGTAGACTCTTTCTCTAAGAAAGTCCCACAGTCTAATTAGTAACATGAATTACTAACACTATGGGTTAATTATTGTACTTAATCTTTATTAATTGCAAAGCTGCATTATCTGAACACGTTTAATCTTTCATCCAATCCTCCTTGTTAGTTTTGTACTTATTCAAAATGTGTAGCATTCAGAAATGGTTTTAGAAATGGAATAGAATAATATTAATTTTAATTATTGTTACTGAAAATTTTAAATGACAGGTAAATATTGTTTAATTATATATTTTATATGTTAAAATAACAGTAATTTTTGAGGTTTCCACTAAGTTTTATATTGCCTGATTTTTTTATTCTTGATGTCCAGTGGTTTAGGGGCCCTGGTTGAATTTTTGAGTCTGAAATGAAGCTGCTTAACAAACAGAAAATAATTTAAGTAATTTGGAAGTTTCTAAAAAGATGTGCTTAGGTTCACTGTCAAACAATAGCATATTATTATGTCATGATGTAGCCAAGGTTCTTTCTAATTATGTCTTCCTGATCATGTTGCCCTTTATAAGAAGTAAATTTCTTTTACTCAGTTTTTTAGGACTGGGATTGACTTAACTCAGAAAATCTATGGGTAAGTTCGGAGGCTCATTGCACACCATCCACATGTAGCCAATGGCTAGAAAAGGAGGGATGATTTTTTTTTTTCTCACAAGAAGGTTCAGAGTATATAAATATTCCTTGTGACCTCAATTACAAATTGAAGGTAGGTTTCTTGAGGGCTGGCTGATGCCTCTGGTTTTTTTTTTGAGGCACCCAGCCTCTAGAGGTTTTTGGGACTCATTGAGGTGTGCAGAGAGTGTAGCAAGTGCCATGCCATCTTATGCTGGGTAGTTTGATTTTTGAAGTTGATTATTGTAAAACCCTGCTCTGGTAGGGCCAGTTCTGTACTCTGTAAACTTATGAATAATCCCAGTAAATGCCAGTGAAGTCAGGGAAGACTGATGAGGGAAAAGTTTTGTTACTAGACTGGAAAGGAGCATTCAGATTAAAGTTGATAGCAAGTAGTTTATGGTTATGAGCTCATGCTGTACTAGGATGACAAAAAGCCTTTAAAATAGAACATGCAGAATCCTAATGAGGTGTAGAAGGAAATTAACAGTCCCTTTTGAAATCTCTTTTAGTGAAGGAAGACCTTCCCCCAGAGTGGAACTGCTACATAACATAGACCCCATGTTTGTGGATGACTTCCCATGTGAGTATGTTACTGATTTTTCAAGACTTATTAAACACACAGTTTATCTTCTGAACACTCCTTGGTTTTCCTTAAGTGAAGTGTTTCCTAGGTGAAACAAAATAAGAGTAGGATGCCTCCTGCTTTTAAGTAAATAACTTTAAAATACAGAGACATCACCCCCAGGTGCTGTTAGTACTTACTGAATCATGACCAATGCGTGCTTCCTATTTCAGAGAGCTCTGAAGCACTGATGAGTAATGAATAAAGTGCTTTGGGACATGGAAATGCTGAGGAGCAGCCATGTGCCTGAGGTGTGCAGGGAGGCACACTGCCAAAAAAACCATACCAAACCCTGCCTTCAGTGCTCCAGGTTGGTAGGTAGCTCCCAATGAACATCTCACCCTAATGCATCTTGCTCCATCTATATAATATGACCTTGCAAATGGAAAACTTGAGTTAGTGAGAAGCTGAGAAGTCCCGAGCCTTGTGATTGCTTTTGTTCATAATCACATGGGTTGGATCTTTAATGCCATAATCACATGAATTGGAGCTTAAGCTCGCCAATTCTATAGCACTTCAAGCACCGTCTGTTTTATGACTCGACATTAGTAGTTTGCTAAGGACTACAAACTTTTCAAGCCAAGATTTTTTTTCATACAGAACATTGGAACAGGTCATTTCCAGGGTTTCTGTATTTCTGGCATTTCTGTATTTCACTAAAGAAGTAAATCCAGGCAGAGAAAGAGTACTGCAGTGGGGAGAGTGATCTCTTGCCTGCAAGACATATACCTGTTGTGCTGCAGGAACTGTGTGGAAAAGGGTAAAGTGGCCTTCTGCGTTGTGCATCTGGGTCTGTGATGCTTTCCTCAGAAGGAGCGACATTGCGCCTATCTAGTGCTGGCTGTACAGCACTGCCTGCAGATAATTCCTACATACTGACAGAATTAAAGTGTAGCTACTCCAATTTCACTTCAAAGGATGTTCACTGAGTC